AAGGGGGCAATTCGCCCCAGGCCCTCAGTTAAGGGGGGGGGGCACAAAAGGTGTAATTAAAAAAAAATAATTTGAACGTTTTTTATATAAATATTGATGGTCTGAGAAAAATTTTTTAGACCTTAATTTTACTGGTATTGGTCTGAAAAAATGTGTTTTTGAACCTTAATTTAACTGGTGTAATTTGTCCAGACAAATTTTTTGAACCTTTTTTTTAATTTAAGACATTGCCGCATTAAACAGAATTTAGACAGAAGTTGTAGCGGTTCATCGGCAATGTGTAACCACCATCAGAGATTTCCGGCTAAAAGGGACCCAGAAAGTTTGAAAATATTTTAGTTATAGCAAAAACAATTTCATTCAATATTTCCATCCAAGAATGTGTATGTATTTAATTAAGTACCTGTTCATGCTGGTATGTGAAACTGTTATTTCTGTTTTATACAACCGTTGTACTCAATTAAGGGGGTAACTTGGTTTTATGGAAAAAAACGTTTGGTTTTAGGGAAAAAATACCTGTACTCTGTAGATCAAACTTTTTGAAGAAATGTTAATTGTTAATTTACAAAACTAGAATTGTAAAACTTCTATAGAGCAGCATTGACGTTGTAAGACGTACTTACTAAAACAAAGAATCACCTAAAATCATCTAAAACGACCTAAAACCATCTACAGCGACCTAATACCATCTATAACGATCTAAAACTACCGACAAAGCGATCTAAAACGGCCAATAAAACAATCCAAAACGGCCAATAAAACAATCTAAAACGATCTACAACGACTTGATAAAACGATATAAAGCTACCTAAAACGATCTGCTTATCAAGAACTCGTAAAACCACCTAGTAGCAAAAATGTTATAATGTTAAAGTCATAGACACATAGTCATAGAACTATACCTTGGTGCCAACACAACTTACAATTAAATCAATTTATTGTGACTCCAAACAGTTTCTTGAAAAGTGGAAAAGACACATATCAGACCAAAAAATTTTCTACATTGTCATTGATATTTTTATAGAAGAATGAAAAAATTGCATTTGAAATAGTTGAGTTCGAAAAACAACGTCGGTGACCCCCAATTTTTATTTTATTAAAAGTTTTTTCCTAGTATGAGCAATCATTAGGACAATTGTTAAAAAATTCTGTAGATCCAAAATTTTTCAAATCGAAAAAACGTTTATTCCTGACAAATTTTTTTTGGGTCTACAGAATTTTTTTAAAAATTGGCCTGATGATTATTCATACTAACAGATCACTTTTAATGAAATATAAAACTTGGGGGTCACCGACATTGTTTTCAAATTAAATTAATTTTAACGCAAATTAGCGGGTTTTGAAACGTCATTGTTGCCATAGCAACCATGGTTACGCATTTTTTGTTGCAGTTTCGTACTCTCAAAATGCTGTTCCATACAAGACATTTTACAGTTTCATTCTTCTAACAAAATATCAATGAACAAGATTTTGGATCAGAAACGTGTGTTTTTACTTTTCAAGAAACTCTTAGAGTTAATGAGGAGCCCCATAGACATAGGTGTCAATTAAATCCATTTCACATTTTTCTTGTTAGTTTTATCACGTGTGTTATACCGTTGGCGTTTTAGATCGTTTTCGGTCGTTGTAGATAGTTTTAGATAGTTTTAGATAGTTTTAGATCATTTTACTGGTCGTTGTAGATCGTTTTAAATGGTTTTACTTTTAGATCGTTTTAGATGGTTTTAGGTCAGTTTAGATGGTTTTAGGTCGTTTTAGATGGTTTTAGGTCGTTTTAGATGGTTTTAGGTCATTTTAGATGGTTTTAGGTCATTTTAGATCGTTTTAGGCGATTCCTTGTTTCAGTAACTACGCATTGTAAGAGCTGGAAATTGGTCACAAAAACTGTTGGTAACAGTTCCAATTGAAAATGGCTGATACTTATATGTTTTTTTCTTATAATGCACTTTACTTGAAAAAATCATAATTACCTGTAATTTTTTCTTCTTGAATCATTCTCTGCAGTTTTAAGAAATAGATTGGTGGGGGAGGGTTTACTATAACATGTTAATTTGCACAATATAAATATTAAATATTATTATTATCATATTCAACGTTACTGTTTCCATAGCAACAGTACTAATGTCACTTTTCTGACAATTTTCGACTTTTAGAATGTTGCTCTACACAAGTTGTGGAATCTTTGTTTTCGAACAATTTCTTTAAAAAGTTCCACATTTCAACAAATTTAAAGAAATGTAGGGGGCCCATTTGTGTAGATATAAGCTACTCCAGTTGTTGGTCCTGGTCAGCCTTAATATTTTTGAGTGCCTTTACTTGAGGGGTGTTAGTTAGGTTGTTAGTACAGTTGCCAGGGTTTAAATAAATATTTTGAATAGACTTATGCATAATGACGTCACAAGCCTTGATGCCCGCGAGGAGTGCTGGTCTTAGTAGTCATCGCCCGGGAAAATTTCGATAGTGGCCATTTTGAATTTTTGAATTTTCCCGGGCGATGACTACTAAGACCAGCATTCCTCGCGTTCATCAAGCCTTGTGACGTCATTATGCATAATGTCTATTTTGATATATTTGTAGGCTGTGTGGTACATGTACAACAATAGAGACCTTACGATGTGAGACGGCAACGCGACGACGACGGCTATCCATACAATGAGATTAATAATATTTAAGGGAAAGAATGAATAATTAATATCCCACGGGAGTTTTAGGCGTCGTGCACGGTTTGTTTACAACGGGAAACTACAGACTTTTACGTCTTGAATAAAAGCCTGCATTTCAAGACGCGAGACGTGATATACTCGGCAAATTAGCTCAGTGCTTATACAGTACTACAGTAGAACTTTCTCAACAATAAAGCCACTATTTCAAGCTGCCCGAAGAGTATTACATTGATACGATGTATAATAGGGTACAAACTTTCTTTACAATCATTCATTTGAATGATTTTAATATTGCCGTTGTCGTTGCGTTGCCGTCCTACATCGTAAGGTCTCTTATTTTTTGATACGCCGAACATGAATACATGAAAAAGCACTTCTCCACCCACCATGTTCAAAGACTGCCGGTCTTTAATACGAATTTCGATTTTCCAATCGAGCTTTTTGACAGAAAACAGCGCATACAACGGTTTTTTTAGTAGACATCAAATTCAAACATTGTACAGTATGTGATGAAAATCAATGTCATCATAATTGCAAATCAATAGGCAATCAGAAAATAACATTTTAAAATATTCATTAACCCTTTAAGTGACAATGCGCCCAGATGTGCCCTACTTTATTATTTTACTCTGTCTAACGTCAAATGATTTTACTCGTCAAGAGGAGAGTGCTGCCACTCAATGGGTTAATCAGACTATCTGCCTACGCAACCTGTTAAACCTTTAATTAAGTGGCGTGTGCGTCCAGATGCGCCCTACTTTATTATTTTATTCTGTCTAACGCCAGACGATTTTACTTGTTAGTGGGAGTAGTTAATTGAGAACTAATGCTTCATACATGTATTATGTTGTACATTGATTTTCATCATACTATATGATTCCCGCCTGGTTCATTGCTCCCAGAGATTAAAAAAATGTCTAACGCCATTGTGATCTTTTATGTCAAGGCAAAGTATTTTAATAAAATCCTATAGATTTTTTTCAATCTCCACCGAACGAAACGTGGTTATCACAAGTGATGGTGATTTACATTTCTTCTGTTGTTTTGTAGAGGGCACTGGGCCTCCTGAAGATGGTGACCCAGGTGATCCAGTAAGTAACCTTGCTGTCAATCGTTGAGATTCCCCTTAGCGCAGCTTGCGGCTTTGAATGGCTATTTTCTCTTTAATAAACCATCAATATTTTCAATTATTTTGATAATTCCGCTCCACGTTGGGTAATTTTACCTTTCACTTGAAGAATGAATCCTGCAATTCAACAACTTCTTAACCATTTCTGAGTGATAATCTTGGTAAAATGAACTTGGTAAAAATGACAACATTGTTACAACTTGTTCACAAGCTTGCTATAAGCTTGTTACAAACATATCTTGTTGAAAATATGAGATATTATTTGTGTGTGTATATGGGACCACACCTGATGCACAGGGCTGCCTAGAGGTTGCACGTGCCTGAGGGAAAATCTTTCCCAGGGTGCCCCTACGACATCATAATAATTTTACAATATATTATATTTTATTGTATATTATCTGGCACCAACCCTGCCAGGATATATATTCTCAGTTAAGCAACTTGTATCAAGCTTTCGTTATTTTGGAACCTTTGTTTGAGCCTGGAGCAAAGTGAACCCTCCCTCTTGCCCCCTCTTTCTGCCAGTCTGCCTATACATGCATGTGCATGGTATGTGAATGGTATATGCATGCAATATATACTGAACATGCAATTGAATAGCATTCATGCTCCAAGTTTGGTAATTATATTACACATTATATAAAACAGCATATTCACTCTTGTCCTGTTTTTTTATTTAGGGTCCACAAGGTTCAAATGGACCTCCAGGTCCGCCAGGACCACCAGGGCTGCCTGTAAGTGTTTGTTTCCACAAGTATGTGCGCACACAACAATTCAATCAAAAAAGATGACGGCAATACAAATGTGCAAAATCTAGTGACTTTCAAAGTGGCAAACTTCTTGTAATTGAGGGCTGTCAAGAGATATTTGGACTGAAAGCAGTGAGCTTATCCACCATCTTGGATTAATTCTTAACCTCATCACATCAATAGTGGGATCAGCCTGATTAAAGGGGTCCTACAGTCATTTTTTAGTCGAAAAGCCACCTTAAGTAGGAGACTCCACAGAGATTCGTTTGGCTGTATCTTACATGCAGTATCCATGAGTATGAGTACTTCCACACATTGGAAGACGCATGCATGCCGTGGTGCGCATGTCAAGTAGCGACAATAACAAAAAAATGTAAACAATACTTAAGGTGGCTTTTCGACTAAAAAATTACTGTAGGGCCCCTTTAAACTGCCTCCAAATGACATCTAAGTGATCAGAAGTTGTTCAAGATGTTGCTATTCAATTCCAAATTTGAAATAGCAAGCAAAAACGAGCTAGTTTTGAGCAGAGATCACTGACTGTCAAGATAAGAATTTGTGCTACGCATTTGTGAGATAACGTGCATATCCTGAATATATCGAAGATGGCAGCCAGCCCACTGTTTTCAGTCAGAATATTTCAAGTATCAATCAAGATATGAAAAAGCTGTTTTAAAACGCCTTCACGCGAAACAAATTAAATTTTACTACCAATGTCGGTTAAAATTGAAGAATGTGAAACTGCCACAGTTCTTCATTCTTTATGAACTATGCCATCTTACTAAGTTCTTTGTATGCTTGCATGGCCACCTTTTTATATGTTAATTTTGCAGTTGGTTACAAAAGTCTGACTGATGCGTATACATGACAAAAAAACAGGACGACTAAAGTCCTGATAGACCTTTTTCGTAGTTTTCTCTCAAACACGGATAATTACATAAACACATTCAACTTTACTAAATTTTATTTTTATATTGTATTACAGGGAAATCCAGGAGGCAAAGGGCCAAATGGATATAAAGGACCCCGTGGTCAAAGTGGTCCACCTGGTCCACCAGCACCAGTGACTGGACCCGACGGTGGCGGCCCAGGTGGTGCGGATGTATGTATTATTTTTTTCTCGAGACTTTATTTGCATGCATAGAATGTATGATCAGCGAGATGGCGAAAGAATCACAATTGGCCTAGGGTGGCATTTAACAAGTACCTGTAAACAACAAGGCCAAGTTGGCGAATAGTCTACAAAGGCGTAGCCTGTGTTGACTATTTTCCATAGACAACGAGACGGAGTTGTCTAATTGTTTTAGTATGTACTCCAACTCAAAATACAAACTCCGTGCACAATTTGAAAGATTTAAATAACATTTAAAAGCATATACGAGCATCTTTTACATTTCTACCAATGAGCACATTTTCTACCAATGTTTCTTAATCAGCATCAAATCTTGTTTGATCAACTTCAGAGCGGCGTCTCACCTCTCAAACTGTCAAGATAACCAGTCTACTGGGAATAAAATAAGTTCTAAAAAATTATAGTGCGGTTAAACGTTTTGGGGGCACAATGCGCTATCAACAAACCCTAACTTACAACCTATACATTTTCATGTGACATTGAAACACTCGAACAGTATATTGGAGAATATTGTAGTAATTTGTTTGGTGTTAAATTATACTCAATATATACTTGAAAATTGCATGCGCTAAGAGTTCACTTGTACCATTTTGTGGTTCTAAAATGACTAAGTGCTATTGCATGTATTTTAACAGCTTATATTTCACCAGGCCTTATACAAAACAGACTTGCATTTTAATTCATGTGCATGTGCAAGTTTAAGTAAGATTTACGCCTGTATTCTAAAAGCTTATTCACACTCAATGAGTGGAGGTTCAATCTGAGCTTCTCTTGAGTGTCATTGTTGTTTTTGAATAGCTGTCACATAGTAAGGTACGTACGACACTAACCCTCCAGCTATTCAAAAACAGTTTTATCATCTAAGAGAAGCTTAAATTGAACCTACACTCATTGTGTGTGAGTGTGAGTGAGCTTTTAGAATACGGGCGTTAGTTCCACTGACGGATCTGCTATGCATAAGTGAAGCCAATGGCAGCCATATTGAATGGCCCCCACCATTAATCTAATCTGGTGTTGTAGACATGATTTATAAATCTCATCTCATTCAAATATTCTGGCTTCAAAATCGGATTACTGAATTCAATAGGATGCTTTATCCAGTCTTATTTCAGACCATTGTTGTCTACAAACCTATTACACATACCAGGATGATCGAGGCTGTTAAATGATAAAACGAAAATTTTGTTTGAAAAGTTATTTCAAAATTGATTCAAATTTCAAAACACGTACACATGTAACAGGCCTTACGATTATAAGCCTTATTAAGCATTACAAGGTTTGATGCGAACTTAAGCACAAGTGTAGTTTAAAACGTGTTTTAATTGGGGTGTTTTCCGGCTAGTTTTCGTTTTTTACAAGAATTTCTTCACTCTAGTACTGTACATACTGACCCATAGCAAATATTTGCCCTTGGTGAAAAAAGACTGGAGTTCATTATTACGCATTCTTTGAGTAGAGGCGGTTCGTTTCAAGTTGTCTTCCAGATATTTGTCATGCATGAATGTCATCATGTATCAGCAGATATTAACATGTACCTTCATTTATTTTTAGTCTGCTAAAGGTCCTCCAGGCGGTCCAGGGGGTTCAAATCCCATTCCAGGCCCTCCAGTAAGTACTTGTAATTTAAGTAGTATTGTTGATATCATCAAATTGCGATATTATCAAATTGTCTGTGATTTGCCATACAATAGTGTTTTCGCAAACGCATACGTTAACACTGAAACTCGAATCTTTGCCTACTTTTCTTCTTATCTTCACTCTTACCTTTAGTAATTTCTACTCTTTAACTGGTTAACATAGAAATAACACTATATTTTATCTTGTGACGCCGTGACGCCCTACTACAGTCTGGTCAATGTAACCAGTTAAAATAAATTGATTATAATGAGTGAATATATAACCAGAGCCCTGCACTAATAAGCAATTATTGGATGAGGCTGAGCATGATATCAAGAATTATTCAGACCGAGGTCAATGTTATCTGCCGAAGCGAAGCTGAGGCGGATAACATAGAGCGAGGTCTGAATAATTTTTGATATCATGCGAAAGCCGAATCCAATAATTGTTTTATTATACATTTAAAGACATCAGAAACATTAAACCGATAAATTCCTGTTTATGAGGTAGGAAAAGTACAATTTGAATATCAAACACCTTGCACAAAGTCAAAGGTGGGCTAAATATTCTATTTCTACTTCTATTTACCCCTTTGTGGCTTTTTTCGTGCTTTCACTATCCTTATCTGCCAATAAATTGGACAGTTCACTTTCAATCAGCGAAGCAAATCTGCTGTAGGCCATTGTCTGTTTGTTTTTTCGCGCGCTTATAGGTTCAAGCTTTTGGCCGCGCAAGGGTTTGGGCACGAGAGAGTCCAATATTTTTTTTTTTTTTGGATGCAAGTTCGATCCAAAAAAAAACAATTATTGGACGCTGATGACGTCATCGGCGGAAAATACGTAATAAATGCCGAATACTGAAAATTAGCCGGCGCTTTCTGACCAATTAGAAACGAGAATACATATTAAATGTATAATAAGCATTGTAATGATACATGTTGTGCTGTCTTTAGGGACCACCTGGTAGATATGGTCGCAGGGGACCGCCGGGTGATGTGGTAAGTTGAATATATGATTATATCAATATATTATATAATAATTCTGAACTGTGTGTGCACAATAGTTGTGACTTGGATTATCCTTCTACTCCAATATTGCTTTACAGTTACTCTAGACAGGTCTTGTCCTGACGGAAGTGAATAATGGCTTTTGCAGTTTATATATACTAAAACTGTCTGAACCAGTGTAGGTACTACCAATGTGAAAATGCTGTGCTGAGTGGTTATATTACTACCTTAAAAAAAAACAAGCAGAAACTCGATGTTTCGAGCGAAGGCCCTTCGTCTTCGTTTTGCTGCAACCAACTCTTGACGAAGGGCCTTCGCTCGAAACGTCGAGTTTCTGCTTGTTTTTTAAGGTAGTAATATAACCACTCAGCACAGCATTTTTGCACTTTATTCATATCTCCTCTTATAATATATTCCCAAGTTATCAGCTCCATTTTGTATTTTGAGCGATGTTGTCAACAGGCCTCGAAATAAATCTGGACGTTATACCGGTCATTATGACCTGTGGATGATTAAATTTACCGGTCACAGCGGAATTTATGCCTGTCATTGTCACTCCTTAGCTTCTTTTCCCCCCTCATCTTTCGTGTGACTCGTAACTTTAGAAACAATTGTGTATTTTAATTGTATTTGTATACAAAGTAGAAGTATGGCGTTTATCAAAGCTGTAGTTGTTATCATTACTAATAACATTAACATAGTTTACTAGCAACTTGATATATTAAGTCGCAATTGTAGTTTGAGTTGCGAGCACGCTTTAAGGCTGCATTTCAGTTACAGTACGCGTTTTTCATGCGTGTGTACACGCATGCACGTAAAAGTTGAAATCGCTTTACATCCTACTTATGAAATAACTAAATTTATATAAAAGGACACGGTGCAGGCTAATAAGGGCGGCGAAGTGACACAATTTGTCATACAGATACGATATACCGCAAGCATGCATTGTGCCTAAGGGCTGTTTTCCAGTTAAGGCTGATTTCCACTGTTGCGTTTTTCACACCTACGTATACGCACGTAAAACTTTAAGTTCGTTTAAATGTTACTTATGAAATAATCAAATAAATAAAGCAACAGTATTTAGTGTTCCGCAAGTTTTAGTATGCATTTGTTAACTTATTTGTAAAATATTTAAAAAAATAGAAGGAGTCAAAGTTTTACGTGCATGTACGTGCGTACGAAAAACGCAAAAGTGGAAATCAGCCTTAACGCGTTTTTCACACGTGCGACGGAAAGTGCAAATAACCTTGACAAATACACATTAAATCATGCACAAAACTGAATGCTGGACGGACATACACTTCTTTGGAAAATCGGAAATCAAAAATCTGCTCCATTTGTGAACGTGCTTCTGATTAAAAAATTTACCGGTCACGCATGTCCGCCAGGCGACGATATTTGCTGGTAAAATTGTGAAATTTTACCGGTCAGTGACCGTGACCGGCACTTATTTCGACTTGTCAATGGTTTTGCTTGAGATGGAAGCAAAAGGAAGAGTCTAATATCTCTAAGATGTGATTCAACAATAGTAAATGATATTTCGTACAATTAGTAAGTGGCTAAGTGCACTTAAGAAACCACTTGCATATGGTTTTAAGTATTATTTATGACGTAAGCCCCTCGATGAGCTTTATAGCTCTTGGGTAAACGTCGTTTTGAACAATATATGTTTATACAAAGTATTATTTAAAACACGAGTAGGAGTGTTTTATTTGACTTTATAGTCAATCCACGTGACATATTATGGCGACATGATTTGCCACAAAGTTTATGAATTATTAATGAGTATTTTAAGGTTAATAATAATATTGAGTTATTTATATAGCGCACAAACCAAAGTTGTCCAATATTAGAAGTCTTTAGAACCGTAAAATGTTAAAACATAAGAATAAAAATACATTATGCACTATTTACAAATTTCTTAAAAATGGTTACTGATTCGCTCTTCCTAAGATGAGGCCCTGTTAGGGGGGTTCCGAATAATCCATAATCCTACGTAAATATTAAAAATAATTGGTATTCTATTTTCGTAAACCAAAATATCCCTAAAGTAAAATAAAATAGAACAAAGACATGTACTTCTATCACTCTGAGGCTTATTTTGTGTTTTGTGACATATGTGTTCTCCATTTTTCACTATTTTGGTTATTTTAATTGACGAGACCATGATAATCAATATCCTTAAATCTTAAATTCCAATCCATAATCCTCTCTTTTAGCTTCAAATAATTTGTTATCCTTTATGAAATATCCAAATAATCCATAATCCTAAAACCCTAACAGGGCCTCTAAGATGGAGTGGCAGTTCATTCCATAATCGTGGTCCATAAACACAAAAAAGATCTGTCTCCATATCATGTCTAGAGTAAGGAATCTGGAGCAGTTCTTTACTAGTTGATCAAAGTGTACACTGCGAGGTGTGACAATGCATGAGCTCCTCAGGATACGATGGGGCAAGTTATTATGACAGCCAACTCTGCTGCAGACTCGTTGCAACGATCATATGTGTTTAGTTTAATAACTTACCACAACGTCTGTAAGAACTATATTAATAATTACATTGATAAATGGAAGAGAGGGACCTGGTAGCTAGTTTGTTGCCATGACTGCTGGTGTGCCTCGAGGAACCCGTCTGGGGTCTTGGCTATTTTTAGCTACTGTATGATAAACGATCTTGACGTCACAGGTGCGAACCAATCGTCAGTGTAGAAGTTTGCGGATGATACCACAATCTCGGAAACTGTCAGTGACCCTGAACAAAACTCCTTACAACAGGAGATCATCCACATATCCTGCTGGTCTCAAGCTACCAAACTTCTTCTAACCCGAAGAAGTGCCAAAAGCTAGTTGTTTCTTTTAAGAGAAATCCGCCATCTTACGACTTAGTGGAGGTTGATTGTCATTCTTTCGAAAGGGTGCACAGTGTAAAAGTCCTAGGAGTCATGATCAGGGATGATTTGAAGTGGAAGGGTCTCGACCATATTGATGCTATTACCAATAAAGCTGCTAAACGTCTGTATCTTCTTAAACAGTTAAAGCGAGCTGCTGTGAATACCGAGATTCTAATACTGTATGTTTTTACAAAAGTGTAATTAGATCTATTTTTGAATATTCATGTCAGCGCTTCCACTTTTGCGATGGAGAATGCTGGAACCCCTACACTTTTCACTAGACGAGACATTTTGTCTGCCAAGCTCTTCGAAGACATTGTTCGTGATGCGCTGATGGCAATCATAAACTTGCTGATCTTTTACCACCTAAGCCTAATATACGCTATAATACACTAACCGACTGCGAGGAAAGAGAACCTTTAAATATTTACCCAATTGTAAAACTAATCGCTTCAGAAACTGCTTCAATTCATTGTTCATTATGTAGACAATTATAAATTGTGAATAGCTAGTGCATTTTAAAAAGGTTATTAAGTCATAATGTAATAACTGTAATTAACGCTTATACATGTAATTCAGGTTATGGCTGCAATATGTATATTCTTTTAATAAACGATTTATCTATCTTTTATTTATCTATCATGACAACGATATAAACAAATATTTGGCTGAGCGCCACTTACTGTATAATTGCACCGAATTTCATTTCATTTTGTTGAAGCAGCTCTGAGATATTGGATTTCCTCCTGTTTATTTCATTCTCAAACACAACCAGTGATGTCATAACTCAAAATAACAACTATACAACCTATAACTTGGAAATCAGATGTGATATGAATAAAGAGTAACCGCCATTTTTCATTATTTTAAACATACCTTTGAGTGATGCAATAAAAAGTATTGGCAAAATTTCGTTTCATAAACATTTTTATTGCCAGGCAAAAGCAGTCAATCTACTTTCTGTACAGGCGTTTGAAAGATGTTTCAAAACACGAGGCTTGCGTACACTCAAATCAAGTGCCTTTTCAGGGCAGACCTTGTGTATAGTTCTATAGTTACTGTATATTTTATGCATCATTTACAAATATGTTCATTTTTATTTGTAAAGGGAGGCAAAGGTGATCAAGGTTTGGCTGGTCTACAAGGTCCTAAAGGTTATCCTGTGAGTATTTTTTATTGGTAACTCTGGATACCAGAGTTCATGAAAGAGAAGAATTCTGTATCTCATTTCTGGATAAAGTAGTTACCATACGTTTTGGTATTCGGTATCCACCTAGAACTAAATATTCATGTCTTTCACATTTACATGTCTTTCACATTACATGTCTTTCACATTTATAATATACAGTAGTACCAGACAATGTACTAGTTAAGTTGACAGAAATTCATGCCATCTACAGTATTAATTTAATAATTTTCCGCGGGTTTTCTGTGAAACTAATTATGCTAAATGTATTGTAAATGTTTGACTGAAATCTTCTTGTATCCAGTAGGAATGCAGGTGATTTACATCTTGTTGTTCAAAACAAAATTTTAGCGTCCTATGAATATTGGGACACCGCAAATTGCAAACCCTGCATGTTGCTGCTAGTTCTGACTTAACAATGGATCTCATATTTTCTCTTTGTTCTTCTTAGGGAAGTGTGGGACCACCTGGCGAACCAGGTGTCAATGGAAATCCTGGAGATCCGGTAAATTTCATTGTTTTACTAACATATCTATTTGTGTTAAGAATCATATGTACTGTTTAGTAAACGAGCAGGAGTGTCTTATTAGGTTTAAAGGCACGAGGGCGCAGCGCGAGTGGCTTTAGACCTAATAAAACACGACCTGCGAGTTTATTAAACGGCTTCAAACACGACTACAAATTCAATAGATATACGGCCTTATTAGTATTCTTTATATAAAGAATACAAATGAGGACACGACTACAATAGATGCTGCCTTAATAGTATTCGTTCTATAAAGAATTAGGAGTGTTTTATCAGGTTTAAAGCCACTGCACGTGACATATTATGGTTTCAGACATGATTTGCCAATAAGCTTATGAATTATTAACGAGTGTTTGAAGAACTTATAAACGTTTTTCCAACACTTTGATTCTCTGTCAAATCCATTTCGCGCATGAGTTCAGCCCCAGTCGAACGAAGACGAGAGTTGATGAAAGTTACAAGCCTTGCTCGCGTTTGACTGCCCAGTCTCGTTGACGCTGGTACACTTTCACTCAAATTTTAATGCGAGTTGATGAGAGTTTTGGCTATACGCACGTTGTAATATCTAGCCAATTCTCGTCAACTCTCATGCACACTCTCGTTTCTTAAGTCTTATTAATTCTCATCCTCATTTAAATGATCAAAGCTTTAGGATTTTGAGTAGCTTTCAAGATTAAGTTACATTTGCATTATTTTAGGGTGAGCCTGGTGGACGTGGTGAAGAAGGCAGTGGTGGCCCACAGGGACCTCCTGTAAGTACTTAGGAAAACCACTTGGTATTTGTACAGCGTACACAATAGTGGTAACTTCGAAAATGAATATTTCTATTATTATAGTTCTCGAATATATTTTGCTAAAAACAGTCGACATCTACAATATTAAAATTATTCATTTTTGGAGTGACCGTGATGATGAATTGTAATATAGTCGAATGCTACAATTGTTGTCAAAAACTGACATATCTCCAAAAAAATTGGAAAGGGGTAGCTTCAATGTTATGCCCAGAAAAATCTGATGTCTGTTTGAAAGACGCCACCTAGCGAGCAATTTAGTTATCTACAGTTCGCCACAAATCTGGATACGTGTGCTGCAACCGTATCCTGGGCTGGATACGTCCTGCAACCAGAACGTTTTGAAAACGATGACGTAAATCAATGAAATTTGAAATCCACCACACTAGAACCCACTCCACGCTGAGCAATCCCGGGTGTTGGTTGCCTTAATAAACAATTAATTATAGCACCTGTCTCGTTTTTGTGGATATTTGTGGATGGTGAAAAACGCAATTAATTCGGATATATGCCTATGCCTATGCCACCATATGTCTACTGTATGTGAAAATGTGAAAATGCGAAAATGCGAGGATATGAAAATTCTATACCATTGCCAACAACAACAACAGCATCAGCAGCAGTGACAACAAACAACATCAATGGCAGCAGTAACAACAAACAACAGCAGTAACAACAAACAACGGCAACGGCAGCAGTAACAACAAACAACAGCAACGGCAGTAGTAACAACAAACAACAGCAGTAACAACAAACAACGGCAACGGCAACAGTAACAACAAACAACATCAATGGCAGCAGTAACAACAAACAACAGTAGTAACAACAAACAACGGCAACGGCAACAGTAACAACAAACAACAGCAACGGCAGCAGTAACAACAAACAACAGCAGTAACAACAAACAACGGCAACAGTAACAACAAACAACATCAATGGCAGCAGTAACAACAAACAACAGCATCAGCAGCAAGCATGTGATTAAAAAAAGTTGTTTTATTATTTACTGGGTCTTAATAAAATACATGGATAGGAAACTAGCTGACGTGACCTAATGTTTCAATGGGATGATGGCGTTGAAACCTAGTTGCAAACCAAATTCTCAAAAACGGCACGTTTAGCGATAATACAGCTAGACATTTTAGTCAAAGAGCAAATAAATATAACTAGGCCATTCTACGATGAAATCTCTAAGTATTCCCGGTCAATTTTAGCAAATATTTCAAGCACTAAACAGTGAAAAATGCATCGCAAATTTCGTTAAAATTGGCAACGCCAATTTCGTAAAAAAATACAAAACAAAGACGAAAAACATTTACCTTGAATACTTTGTCGTGGCTTGGGCATGTCTTTAAAACAATTACACCAGTTTATGCTTCAATATTACTCTTTTAAAGCGGAAAATATAGCGAAACAACAAAAATGCCGAGAACTTTGGCAATACACGTGACGTCACAGATTGCAACTAGGTTTTAGACTGTGACGTCAGGAAGTTTCCTATCCAGTTATTTTACAATCTATGGTGAATGTAAGACCCTCACAGTATAAGGTGTGGCATCATGGGAGATCACAGGGCCCTCGTTCTATGTAAAGTCTGTTCAAACACGACATTTGGAACGCCACAGAAAGCCTGTCTTAAGGAACAACTAGAATACTAAGATATGCAGTGAACATCTAAGGTTGTGGGTAGCAACTTGGTGTTGATTATAACCAGTATAACTGAACCAGGGGCGGATCCAGGATTTTCAGTACGTTAGTCAAAGTTTTCGGATGTACAATCTAGTTTTGCGGGCGGCGAATGCGCGAGGCACCTAGGGGGGTCTGTCCCCCAGGAATAAGCAGTAACAACAAACAACAGTAGTAACAACAAACAACGGCAACGGCAGCAGTAACAACAAACAACAGCAACGGCAGTAGTAACAACAAACAACAGCAGTAACAACAAACAA